ATAAAGGAACAAAAAAACAAACGAAAAATAGAAAAAGGCAAAAAAAAAAGAAAAAAGACAAACAAAAAGCAAAAAAATAAACAAAAAGAGAAATAAATAAACATGCAAATGGACAAACAAATAAATAAACAAACTACAAAACAAAGAAAAAAAAGTAAATAAATAAACAAACGAAAAAAAAAGCACAAAAACTAATGAAAAAACTAACAAAGAAAAAAAACCAAAAAAAAAAGCAAAAGAAAAGTGAATAAACAAAGAAGTAAGCGAACAAAAATAAACAAATAAATAAACAAGCAACGAAATAAATAAAAAAAAAATAAATAAATAAATAAGCAAATAAACAATGAAATAAACAAAAGAAAGAAACAAACAAACGTATTATATATCGCATTTTACATTTGTAATATTTTAAAATTTATCAAATATTGCATATACTCATTTAAACATTTGGCATTAATTATCATTTATCAAACTATTCGAGGAAATTTACGAATTCTCCAATACATTATATTATTTAACATATGTTTTTTTTTTGTCTTTGTTTCTTTTTTTTACTAAAAAAAAAATAATTCTATAATTGATATGTAAAAAAACAAATAAATTGACATATAATATGTTCTTTTATATTTACAATATAGCATATCAATTTAATTTACAATATAAGTAATAAAAAAATTATACAATTTTTAAAAAATTAAAGAAAAAAAGAAAACTATAAAAATATGAAAAATATGAATGTAATATGGTGGCTAAAAAGTTTCGAATATTATTTCAATTTTTTTTTTTTCTTTTTTCCTGTTAGGAATGAAAGTTAACCGATTTGAATTTGATTAAAAGTAAATTATATTTTTGGTAAGCCTTGAAAAAAAAAAAGAAGCGAATTATTTTTTAAATGTTAATAAAAAAAGAAAAAAAAAAGTAAAAAAGAAAAGAAACAAAAGACTATGAAAAATTCGGCCACAATTTAATTTAAAGGAATCACATTTGGCACCGATTGTTCAACCCGAAGATTCGGAAATATGCTTTTCAACGGATAAAGATTCAATTACAACAATCACAGATGCTGTAATTTCGACAGAATTGCTTCAATAATATTGTTACAAGACGAAGAAATATGAATTTTATATCAGAATTTTTTTTTTTTTTTTTGTTATTTTTTTTCTTCTCCTTCATATTTATTTCATATTCCTTCTAGTTATGGCATTTTTTCACTTTTTCCTTTTTTTTCATTTTAAAATAAAATTATGCTCAATTATTACTGAATTATTTGTGCATGTATAAAACTTACTTTTTTTTTCCCCCCCTTTTTCAGCTCATGTAAATTTTTGCATAAAATTTAATTTTCTTTTTCCTTTTTTGTTTTTCTTTTTCATTCAATAAATAAGCTAATATTAATGCAATATTTAGCAAATATTTCATTTTAAAGTTTCACAAAAAAAAAAAAAAAAAAAAGAAGAAAAAAATGGCGATATTTTAGTTACATTTTTTTTTCTCCCCCGTTAATTAAATCTTTTCGTACTTTTTCCATTTATTTTTTCCAGATTTAAAAATTCTCTATTTTGTTACTAATCCAAATTATACTTCCTTTCTTCTTGTTTCTCTTTTTGCTAACTTGCGTCGGGTTTTGTACAGTTTATAGGCATTTATGGATTTCGTCAGTTATCTTTATATTCTTTTACGTCTTGTAATCCTATCTTTTGCGACTACTTCACTTCATATTTTTGGTATTTTTCGTTTCTTTGTTATACTTCCATTAATTTTCATCTATTTCATCACATTTTGTTCTTAGTAAAAATTTCTAGTGTATTGGATTGTTTTTGCTTTTTTTCGAATTCAATATGATTTTGTCAAATATGCTAGTCATTTTATTCTATACAAGCAAAAGAAGTCGAGCCCTGCGG